TACTAATAGCCAGTACAGCTTAGTAGCCTCTCCCATATCTACCCCAAGCCCCCTAACCCCTTCACTGAAAAAGAAAAAGAGGAAGACAAATCCCATTGTTGATTTTAGCACAGGAAAGTGCTAAGGAGCAGAAGCCCCATGAGGAGAAAACAGAGCGGTTCTTGGCCCTGTTTGAAAAGCTCATTGATAAAATGAGTTGTGTGTTTTTTTTTTGTCTGTGATATCTGCCCTTTCGATCCTAAAGGAGTTTAAATCGAAAAAACAACTGGACTTGATTATTTGTCTGGGAAGACGTTTCACCTCTCATCCAAGAGGCTTCATCAGTTCATGTACGCATCTGACCAGACTGGGACTGGTCCAACTTTCTGGTGTGGAGACCCAGGTATTTAACCTCTTGTGGGCGTTCACAAGGCTGATGATGTCACTGGTTCCCTTTTGTGCTCCAAGTGTCAACCTCGTTAGTGCTCTATTGTGTTATAACGACAGTCGTTGGAGTCAACTTGGGATCAACGACAGTCGTTTGCATGACTGTCGTTGGTGGAAAGTTGGTTTCGACTTCGTTAGTGCTCTATTGTGTTATAACGACAGTCATTGGAGTCACTTGCCACTTGTGAACAGTTGTTATTCTTTGAGGCTAGATTGTTGAATCTCCTGGGAAGGGATGAAAGGGCAGCATTGTAAATTGGAGATAGGTGGTGTCTGAGACCTCCTCCCCTGTTGAGGGATGGTTTCTCTACTTTTACATAGATGGCCTCTTTTACTCCTCTTTCGAACCACCTGTCCTCTCTGTCTAGGATGTGAACATTGCTGTCCTCAAAGGAGTGGGCTTTCTCCTTGAGATGTAAATGGACAGCAGAGTCCAAGCCTGAGGAGTTAGCTCTCCTGTGTTGGGCCATGTGTTTATGCAGTGGTTGTTTTGTTTCTCCAATGTAGAGATCATTGCATTCCTCGTTGCACTGGACTGCATACACCAGATTGCTTTTGTGGGTGTGTGGTGTTCTGTCCTTGGGATGTACCAGCCTCTGTCTGAGTGTGTTGCTGGGTTTGAAATACACAGGGATACGGTGTTTGTTGAAGATCCTCCTGAGTTTTTCCAATACTCCAGACACATATGGAATGACTATGTTGTTTCTCTTGTTTTGTTTTTCTTTCTCAACCACTTTGCTGGTTTTCTTTCTGGAAGTAGCTGCAGTTTTCACAAAGGTCCAGCTAGGGTAACCACAAGTTTTGAGGGCATCCCTCAGGTGCTTGTGTTCTGCCCCTTGGGCCTGTGAGCTGGTGGGCACGTTACCAGCTCTGTGTTGCAGGGTTCTGATAACACCAAGCTTGTGTTCCAGAGGGTGGTGTGAGTCGAAAAGTAGATATTGGTCTGTATGTGTGGGTTTTCTATATACTTCAATGTGGAGGCTCCTGTCCTTTTCCATATGGGCGTCACAAGCTAAGAAAGGCAAACTATTGTCCTTGGCATCCTCTGGTGAACTTGATGTTTTTGTCCACTGAATTAATGTGTTCGGTAAAAGCTTGCACCTCTTTGGTTTTGATTTTAACCCATGTGTCGTCCACATACCTGAACCAGTGGCTCGGTGTTGTTCCTTCATTTGGTAGGTTAGAGCAGAAGTGAAGTGGTTTAAGAGATGTATGCAAAAAAAAGCAGAAAAAAATATTGATATATGATGATTTTATAGCATTTTCTTTGTGTGTCCTTTTTTGGACGCGAGGAACCCCAGAGGGTACAAAATGTGTTACCAGTGTATAATAGACCTGTAACAGTAACTGACATTAGATTTTAAAAATATGTCAAAAAAGACACTTTCTTGCAGAAATCCATACCTTCAGCTGTAACACAGCCAAAATGATCAGCAAATCAAAAAAGAAAAGTGAAGAAAATGTCCAAAAAAGGACAGAGGGACCCCTGAGGGTTAATAAATCCCATGAACCGCTATTTAAATTACCACTATTATGTTTTTTTCGATGCTAAATTTAACATTACTGGGGAGGAGAGCAACGCAACTAGAAGTGACAGTGAGAGAGGGCTAGTAGCTTCTCCTCTCCTCTGTCTCAGCGGAGACCGTCACAACTTCATTCACTCATTTAACAAAACAAAAAGAAAAGCAACAAAGGAAGCAGTAAATGGACTTACATATTTAAGACCTAACTAAATGTAATTTAAGACCTAACATGCGGCTAATGTAAAGCTAGCGGAGCTTGGAGAGTTGGTTATCTGGTTGCTAGGCACGCACACACGCACACAGGTCAGGAGCTGCCGTTGCCATGGCAATGTGAAAATCTGCCCAGAATTTGGCTTCTACATGGCTTAAAACAATTGCAAATTATGAGAAAACCGTTACTTCTTTTCAAAAACCGAAAACACCGTGACAGACACTGAAGCCAGAAGTTTCTTACAGTCTCTATTTTATTCAGATATTCCTTAAAATGAGTGAGTAAGCTCAGTGCGAAGACAGAGTGAGATTCTTTTGAAAAAAAAAAGACGATTACATTAGGTGTCAATGAGAGTGAGACAGGTATTGCTGCCGGACTCGGCACCCCCGTTTAAATTTTGTGCAGACCCTGCCTGTCAAAGTTACATTTGAAGAATCCCAACAACTATGTCTACATTTTCAGAAAGAATTATTTGTCTCCTTTTTACGGTTTGGCCGTGAGCTCGAGTTAAAAATAAAAATAAAGGTTATTTTTTACTGCTTCACGCACTCTAGCGTTGTCACTCTAACTTTGAAGAAAAAGGTTATTTCCACTCCTCCTTTGAGTGCTCATAGTTTACATGTTATGTGAAAACAGTTGCTGTGTTTTGGAGAGAGCAGAAGTTTTCCTCCGTTTTATAGTTTGAATCACATTTCTACGTGCAGGTATGAGAGAGCTGGGTGACTCAGAAAAAAGGTGAAATTTTGTAGAAAAAAGTGAAATTTTGTGGGTTTTTAAATTAAATTCCAATGCATTCCTAATGCATTATTTATTCCCAGTATTTTGGGAATAACTTTGGGAAAAATTGGAATTTTAACACCAAAAGTCATAGCACCTCTTTCGGGATCAAGACGCACGTTTTGATGTATATATTACCGGGGTTTTCTCAAAGCTGCGGGACGAGTTACGCGCCAAAATTTGGCGGAAGAATAATAATAAGCCCAAAGGAATATTAATAGATGCCTCGGAGCTGAGCACCCATGGCACTAATAAGTAATGTTAGCATACAGCTGTGTGTCAGCTACAACAGTTAGCTTTCAATTTGCCTGTCAACCAGATCAATTAACTAGCCCCAGCTATTTGCTGTAGTTAGCTAATGGTTAGCTATGCTTTTGGGCAGGAAATCTAAGTGCAAAATAGTTAACTCACTTACCTGTAAATGACCATGCATTTATTGTCGAAGTCCCTGGGTCTGGCTCTGTCTCCTCTGACTATTGACAGTGCCAGAGCACCTTCCACCCGTTTACAATATGATAACAGGTGGAAACTTTTTTCACATTAGTGTGTAGATCGGGGCGAGGAACCAGTGCATTGCACCGTACCTCCTAGATTAGGGCCTCTACATTGAGAGTATATGTGGCCGCTATTTCATGCCGGCAAGCTCAGGTCGACAATATTACAGTGGGGAGCCACAGTGTAGTGTCTCTTTTCTTAAGAGGGGCTCAGAGGGTGTGTCCCCCAAGTGCTCCAAGAGCTCCAGTCTGGGACCTGCCCCTGGTGTTGGATGCTCTATGCTTGCCTCCTTTTGAGCCCTTGACATGGGCGGAACTGAAGAGGGTGTCCGTTAAGACGGTGTTCCTCCTTGCCATTTCCTCAGCCAAGTGTGTCAGTAACCTGCATGCTCTGTCAGTTCGTGAATCATGTCTGAGGTGGAACCCAGATGGCTCGGGTGTCACTTTGTGGCCGAATACTGCATTTCTCCCTAAGGTGCTGTCACGCTTACACCTCAACCAGCCTATTCAGTTGGCACAGTTTGATCCCCCATCAGGGGAAGGAGAGAGGTTGAATTTGCTATGCCCAGTAAGGGCCCTTAGAGCCTATGTTGGCACTACTGCAAGTGTATGGCAGTGTTAGGGTTAGGGTTAGGAACTGATTCCTTGATGACAACGGAAGATATACCCTCTCTCGGGTCATCTGGGGTCACAGGTGACTTTGTTGATATGAAATACTTGTCCTGCGCATACGTGAGACAGCAGATCCAGTGCTTGAAGCACCGCCTCTGGTGGTCATACAGGATTCAGAGAACAGTAACATTCGTAACTCTCGTTGTGTATGTGTGAGTATAACTTTTCAGTTGTGTGTGTGAGAGGGTTTCAGTAGTGTGTGTAAAACCTTTTCACTTGTATGAGTGTGAGGTTTTTAGTATAGAATGTGAATGAGTATGGTTTCATATGTGTATATGCATGGTAATTCTAGATAATGTCCCTGACAGCCCCTAATGCACTTACACCTGCTAGCCTACTTATATTAGTGTTATGCTGTGCTACATTCTGAAGATAATGTTAACATTTTAAATGAATATAGTTAGCAAGGTGACAAGAATTTGGTTTCATTCATCGTTTCGTTGTGTTATGAACAAGTGAAAACTTAAAATGAATGAAAACTGTTGCTGGCACTTGATGAAAACTAGAGTAGAAACTAACTAACTGTTGTTGGCATCACTAGAGCTATGCTGCTAGCTTGACTAAAAGTAAGAGGTCTTCATCAAAAGTTTCAGCCATGGGTTAACCAACAATACAGTATAAGATGTCATAATGTCCTCCAAGAAAGTATGGATGTGGCAGAGATGGAAAATTATTTTCCTTAGTTGAATACTCAGTGCACAACCTTGAAAAATTCATTGTTTTCCATGATGTGAGCTGACTTAATTTTGATCTAAAATTAATATTAGTTTGCTTGTTTTTTTTTTATATTTATTTATTTTTTAGTCATTCAGTGTGACATTTGATCATTGTTTCATGCCACCACAACCCAAAAGAAAGAGGTCAGATACAAGTTTTGTGAAGAAACCATCCCTTTATTGGTGTGAAGCAGTCCCATCCAAGTCAGTGTTAAAAAGGTTAAAAACAGTCAGTTCTCAAACAGACCAAACCAGAGTTCCTCCACAACCTGCTGGCTCTACTGGGGTGGGATTTACAAAGTTGTACTGAGCACAGACGCTCAGAATGCTGCGCTGAAGAAGTGAGAGGGGTTCCACAGAAATTATAAAAAGACTTCACTTTACTCAAAACCACGTTCACTGCTTTTACTGAAACACCACAGCAGTACCAGAACTTCCTCTGGGAGGTAGGAAAAGTTAGAGGGTGGAGGTGTGTGTGTGTGTGTGTGTGTGTGTGTGTGTGTGTGTGTGTGTGTGTGTGTGTGTGAGACAAGGGACAGAGGTGTGCTTACTGAACTCAAAAACTGATAGGGCAAAAATCTGGGGTAAGGTTGTCAAATCACATTGATCAAAGTTAAAGAGAAAAATGATGGTATATTTTTTATTTTTCAACCAAATGCTTTGGATTGTTTTCTGGGGAGGAGAGCGTAAGTAGGCCAGAAGTGCTTCCCCTCCTTCTGTGTTGGTTTATTTGAATGTTTGATGCCTCAATGGTAATCTCCAGTTTACCATGGAGTCCTTTAACATGTTGTTGCCACTGCTGCCCCTGCTGCAGTGTTCTTACTTGGCATTGGCGGAGCTGCTGAGCACCTTACGCACAGCCTGAGCGATGGCGTCACGGTCAATGCCAAAGATTCGGAGCAGCTCCTGGGGCTTACCGCTGCGTGGTACCTGAGAAACTGCCAGGCGGTGAACAGTGAAACCAGTCTCGTTCACTACCGCAGAGCACACTGCCTCACCTAGACCACCTGGGGAATCAGAATAGAGCAGTCACAACTGTTGCTTCAAGGATTCACCAAAATCAGACACACAAAATCTTTTTTCAAGAATTTTTCCTGATATTCTGATTGAAGTCTCTCATTTCTGCTTTGATCTCCCAACTCTCCTTCTATTGATTTCCACCCTTCTGTCATATTAAATCTTTCACACCATGGATGATTAAGCTCTGCAATGATGTGATGTGGAATGACAGGTCTGACGCTGCTCTCCCTTGACTTTCTCATTTCTCTTCTGTCTGACTTCCACCCCATTAAGACTCTCTTCTCTCCTTTCCTTTCCCTCCCCCTCTCCTTTTTTTTTTGACTTTTCACTCAAAACTGTCACTCAAACATTTCTGATTGAGTGAACATGAAAGCTGAGGAATGAGGAAAAGAGAAAGTTATTACTTGTTCTTTTTCCTTCCCTCCTACATTTTCCCACCCCTTGGTTGATCTACTAGTTGACAACTGGTGTGCGTAGGAGAGAAACAGAAAGAGAAATGCACTGTTTCAGGATTGCATATTATAGTCTCCCTGTATGAGTTTGGGGTCTGTTCATTTTGGAAAATGACACCTGACACAAATGAAATAGCTACTTACTACTGATCAAAGTATTTAGAGTATAGAAGTTGGCTCTGGAGAAAGTTTAAAGAAGATAAATTCCTTGGAAAATATACTTTGTAACTATCTGTGAAGAAAGAAATTTGCAGCAGTATTTAAAAGCTCTCAAACATCTTACATCTTGTGTCATACATTGCTGGCACTAGGCTGCAAAGCAGCTTTTCACTACCTCTGTGGTTGAACCAAACAGTGATGTTACTGTGTACTGACACACTCTGAAGTACAGGGTAAGAACACAGATTTTTAGGGTGTATTACATTGCTCTCAACTAGTAAAACACTGCACTGGGAATATTAGTACAGCAGTACAGTAATATTTACTTCATGGGAAGCCAAAGTTATGCACCACATACATCTGCTTTGCACTAGCTGTCACTGGTGTAATTTCTCATAGAAAGATGGTTTTAGTCTTTTTAAAAGATGAAAAATGGCACTGTGGTTTTCTGTTTTTCTACTACTGACAAGAGAGTATAACCTCAACTACATTATGTTAACAATGATTAAAAGCTGCTGATGATGTTAGCGTTAAACTCACTTAAAGCTTCCAGGAGATTTTGACAGCTCAACTCCTGAGGTCTGTACTACGAAGCAAGTTCAACATACCAGGATATATTTTTACTAAGAACTAACAACAGCACAAATGCAGGATTGACAGCTGGCAAAAATCACAGACTGTGAATGTGCAATTTAATAGGGTTATAATATCAGTGCCCCATCATTTGGGCAAGAGTTGATCTGAGTATAATGACATTTGTGTGTTCCATTAAATTAATGTGTTGCTTACATGTATTCTTATCAAGGTCCACGGGATCCTCTGTGCATATGTGATGTCATTTTCCAAGAGAATTGATTGGTCAGTAGGCTGTGCTTTTACACGTATTCATCTGTTCTTTTGAACATAACCTGCTGCACAGCTTACATGTCCACACACATGCACATACTCCATCTCCTACAAAGCTACTGACGAATCATCATCATGTGAATATATAGGTGTGCATTTGCATGTGTGTGTGTGTAGGCAGGGGTGCTAAGGCATTAACACAACAGTGCCTTCTCTCTTTTTTGTTTTGCTCTATCATGGCAAACAGACAGATGTAATCTCACAGGATAGATAAAGCCACTACATATATATGACAACAAAAATACAACACAAACACATAAGAAGAGATGAGGAGAGGTTTGGACTCTCATTTCTGTCATGCTGGTGCTGTATGTGGGTCAGCGAAGGCCCAAAGGCCAGAGCTTAAATTAAGAAACCTTGACAGGCTCTCCCAGCTCCTCCTGTTCCCTCCCTCTTCCATATACTGTTTTTTAATCTATTTCACTTCTTCTGTATCCTCCATGTCTCTCTTCACACCCACAATGTTCAGCCCAGTTCTCTGCAATGTACAGCATCCCTAAACTGTACTTCAGTCTTGTTTCTCCCACCCTCTCTCTTTGTCTCTCTGGCTCACTCAGTCTATCTGCAGATGGACCTTTGCCCTTTGTTCATTCATGAGCTGACACACAGGCAGCATAAACACACAAGCATCTGCATATTAATCTTTATGCCTGATGGTTACAATTAAACACAACTCTCCTTGAGTTTAATTGTATATGATCATCAAATTTAGTTTATGTAGTACAGTGGGACTTTATGTTGCTTTATATTATTTGGACCTGTTGAAAAATGTGTTTAAATTAATACAGAACTTCAGTGTAGATGACATACAATTGGTATCATGCAGCAACATTCTGAATCCAGACACTTCTTGGGATTTGAAATTACCTTGTTAATTTCCATGCATTTCATGTAATTTTATGATAGATAAATATTTAGTATATCAAATCAATATCAAATCATAATTTTTAACATAATCTGTAACTTTTCAGCATTATAATGTTTAAAGTAGACTATACAGATGTTATTTTTTTTGAGTAGGGTAGTTACATTGTCACAAGTGTTTCGAGCAATTTCCAAACCTAGAGAAGCCTGTAGTTCTATTCAAGGTAATGGTCCATGTCATGGTGTAATATCCCTTTGCACATGTGTCACTGTTGTGGTTGCCCGCCAGAAGCGGTCAAAATGGACTTTTTGGATCTTGATCATTTTAAACTATATATTTTATCTAGATGAAAGATTTTAGTCGTTGGGCGTCTGAAGGTTTATTTATCAGAGCAACAAATTGAGCAATTGAGCAGCTCGGCTCACAGTCCCTTAGAGACGTCCTGTGTCATCACCAATCAGAACGAGAGAAATACTGATTTTTAACTTAAAACAGTTTTATTCAGTGTTTTTATCAGATTAAATCACTGGGTTTGTTTGTTTAGGTAAGGAGGAGACATCTACTGACTGAACTGACGACATTGGTGATGAAGACAACAACTCCCATGATCTTGTGCTTACACCATATCATCACCACACTTCTTTCTCATCTTTTGTTATTAATTTGATTGAGAGCCCTCTCTTATAAAATTCACAGTGCCAGAGCCTCACTGTTTTCTCAAATCAGGTTTAAAAAACTATTTGAAGTTTCAATTCTGAATACAGCATACTGTATTATTTGCTTTAATGGAGAGTCAGTAGTGAAGACAGGCAGAAGTTAAGGACAAAGTTTATAGGTCAGAGTTGAACCCTGGGTACTGTAGGCTGAAATTCACCTTCAAGCTTAGGACGTTTTAAAGATATTTATTCTGCCACCAAATTGTTTTGTTTAGGAAGTATTTTTCGAACTTTGCAATGTTGTCAGACTCCTCACCTTCATAGTAGTGGTCCTCCACTGTGATGATGCGTCCTCTGGTTGCCCTGGCATTGTCACTGATGGTCTTGGAGTCCAGGGGTTTGATGGTGAAAGGGTCGATCACACGGATGTTGATTCTCTCTGAGGGAGGCAAGAGTGAGGTGGAGGATGCATGTTATGAAAGACTATATTCTTCAAATTATAGACGGAGACCATAAAGCACAATATGTTTGCATGCTGATGTGAGTTGGTTTCATTTTCTTTCTTGCTGTCTCTCAAATGATGCGCTTGCAACAAGTGGCAGCAAGTCCGTATATATACAGTTGTGTGAAAAAGTGTTTGCCCCCTTCCTGATTTCTTATTTTTTTGCATGTTTGTCACACTTAAATGTTTCAGATCATCAAACAAATTTAAATATTAGACAAAGAAAACACAAGTGTTGGGACTCAATCATTCAAGAGACCAAATGTTTCTTTGCTCCACTGGACAAAGGAACTCACACTCCACAGTTCCTCACCGTTCACACCTGGGGACGACCCTTCCCCCCACGGACCTTACTGGCCAGCCAGTGTGGGTCAGCGTGTGACATGTGACCCCCCAAGGGTGTCACCAAACAAAACCAGATCTCTGGCCCTCTTCTCTTCTCCTTTGGCTTGCTCTGGAGAGCAGCTCCAGCTCTTTCCTTTCAGTTCTTCAAAGGGCAACAAGGCCCCAGCCCAGGTCAGCCCTGCTACCTGAGAAACCAGCTCTCTCACCAGCCTGCTACCAGCAACCTGCCAACGCTCTTCTCCTCAATAGCAGCGACCTGCTTCGGATTAACTGTGAGTGAACCAAATCCTCGTCAGAATCAGCAGCTACGACACAAGGCCAGCTGGTTTTCCAAGCAACAGGAGTTGTAGCAGAGTTAGCACGGAACAGCTAACTCTGTGAGGAGAACAAAGGAGATAACTGCAAAGCAACACAGCCAGACAGGACTTTACTCCACTAGGAAATCTCCTAACTCACTGGACTTTACACCAACACTGGACAGGACCTCTTTGCTTGTTTCCAGGACTGGGTAACGTTAACTGACTAGGCCTAACCTTTCACAGCATAGCACCGCACAGCATAACTAAGCAGCAGAAGTCTTAACTTTGTTAATGTACTTGTTGATTGATGCCTTGTTGTTGTAATGTTTGCTTAGGTTGTGGTCAGTCATACAGTTAATTGAGTACTCGTATGTTCACACACATAGCAGTACGTCTCAGTTCTAGAACCTGCATGAAGCTAACCACCCCCCCTCTAACCTGGTACCTTTAGATAACATGAGCTAGGCTAACAAAGAAACTCACACCTTCCCTCTCACACACCCCAGGTGGTCCAGCAGCCATTTTGAGTAGTTTCTTTGTTTACCGCCATCTTGTGTAATCTTCTTTGTTCAGGTCATGTGGTAACAGTGACCACTTTGAATCGGCCATCTTGCCTTTGTTTGTGTCCCCACAAACACACACACAAACACACATACACACACACACCTGTATATACAGGAAGCCACCCAACTCACTGGACTTTACAACACCACTGGAAAGGACCTCTTTGTTTTGTTCAAAGGACTGGGTAATGTTAACTGACTGGGCCTAACCTCTCCTAGCACAGCATAGCACAGCACAGCTAAGCAGCAGAAGGCTTAACTTTGTTAATGTACATATTGATTAATGTCTCGTTGTTGAAATGTTTGCTTAGGTTGAGGTCAGTCATACATTTAATTGAGTACTTGTATGTTCACACACATACCTGTAGTACGTCTAAGTTCTAGAACCTGCATGAAGCTAACTCCCTGTAACCTGGTACCTTTAGATTACATGAGCTAGGCTAACAAAGAAACTCACACCTTCCCTCCCCCACACACTAAGGTGATCTCAGCGGCCATTTTGAGTAGTTTCTTTGTTTACCGCCATCTTGTATAGTCTTCTTTGTTCAGGTCATGTGGTCACAGTGACTACTTTGAATCGGCCATCTTGCCTTTGCCTTTGTCCCCACAAACACACACACAAACACACATACACACACACACCTGTATATACAGGAAGCCACCCAACTCACTGGACTTTACAACACCACTGGAAAGGACCTCTTTGTTTTGTTCAAAGGACTGGGTAATGTTAACTGACTGGGCCTAACCTCTCCTAGCACAGCATAGCACAGCACAGCTAAGCAGCAGAAGGCTTAACTTTGTTAATGTACATATTGATTAATGTCTCGTTGTTGAAATGTTTGCTTAGGTTGAGGTCAGTCATACATTTAATTGAGTACTTGTATGTTCACACACATACCTGTAGTACGTCTAAGTTCTAGAACCTGCATGAAGCTAACTCCCTGTAACCTGGTACCTTTAGATTACATGAGCTAGGCTAACAAAGAAACTCATACATGAGCTAGGCTAACAAAGAAACTCACACCTTCCCTCCCCCACACACTAAGGTGATCTCAGCGGCCATTTTGAGTAGTTTCTTTGTTTACCGCCATCTTGTATAGTCTTCTTTGTTCAGGTCATGTGGTCACAGTGACTACTTTGAATCGGCCATCTTGCCTTTGCCTTTGTCCCCACACACACAAACACACACACACACACACACACACACACACACACACACACACACCTGGATATACTAGATTAGACATTGTGTTTTTACTCTGTCCATTGTAAATTAATGTCTTTAAGTATAACCACTCGTGTGTGTAATGTGCACAAGTGTGAATATTGCCAACCTCTACTTAGTAGAATTCCAATCCTTCAATTTAACTAACTGTTGATATGGTAATTTGGTTATAGTTATTAAGGTAATTATTAAGAGTTCCAGATTAATAGTAATAATTTGAGACTGAAACAATATTGGTTTAGGCTGGTGCACCTGATGACTTTAATTCATTTTAAAGTTATTATTTGATATTAATATTTTTAATATTATATTTTCTTAATTTATGATAGCCAATAAATTAATAGACAACCGAGGATCCAACATTTATGGTGTCCAGCTCATGAGGCAGAGCTCAGACCCAACATTCTGACGATGGAGAAAATAATATACACAAAGGAAGAACTCTGGCTTTAAAGTTTACCAGATATGCATTGCAGATGGTATACATTATTCAAATGATGCGCTGACAACAAGCCCGCAAAGTTCGTAGTTTTTTGCAAAATATTCGTATATATATGTATATTTTTATCGATTGATGTTTTTTATTCTACGTTGTTGTTTCGTCTTCCGATGGAGAAAATAATGTACACAAAGGAAGAACTCCTGGCTTTAAAGTGTACCAGATACGGAGTTAAACGTCCCATACCAGCTGAGCTGAAGAAGCCGTTCTGTGGATGCAGAGCCGGGGCTAAGCTAAAGGGTAGGAGATGGAGATATAAGCCTTTTCTACCATTGATCCTCATGCGAAATTTCAACTCCCTGGCTAACAAGTGTGATGAACTGGAGGCACTTTGAAGAACCAGCGAGCATATCGTGAGTGTACTCTCATGTGCTTCACGGAGACCTGGTTAAACAACAACACTCCAGACCGTTGTGTGGATTTACCCGGCTTCACTGCAATACGAGCGGACAGAGATGCCAGAGCAAGTGGTAAGAATAAAGGTGGAGGACTGGCACCCTGATGCATTCATTGCAATATCGGGGGATTTTAACCATGTCACTCTCACCTCTCACCTGTCTGGCTTCACTCAGTATGTTGACTGTCCCACAAGGGAAAATAAGACACTTGATCTGTTGTATGCAAATGTCAAGGAGGCCTACACTGCCATAATCTGTTTTTTCTTCAGCCTTCCTACAAACCCTGTGTAATGAGGCAGGCTGTGACCACCTGCTCATTCAGGAACTGGACCCCAGAGGCCAGTGAATCATGTCTTGTTCCAGTACCTAAAGTGGGATGATCTGCTGAGATAAATGACTATAGACCGGTGGCCCTCACATCACACATCATGAAGAGCCTGGAGCGGCTGCTTATCCACCTTCTGAAGCCACAGGTTGAACATGCACTTGACCCCCTACAGTTCACCTACAAAGAACATATTGGAGTGGATGATGCCTTTACGTGCTCCACAGGGCCCATTCTTACTTGGATGAGCCAGATGGTTACATGAGGATTATGTTCTTTGATTTCTCAAGTGCATTTAACACCATCCAACCCCCCATTCTGAAAGACAAGCTGGAAGGCATGGGGGTGGATCCCTGCTTCACGTCCTGGAATGTGGATTACCTGACAACGACAGCACGTCAGGCTGGGTAACTGTGATTCAGGGACAGTGATGAGCAGCACTAGGGCTCCACAGGGGACTGTTCTGGCTCCGTTCCTGTTCACCCTGTATATTGCTGACTTTAAATACAACAATGGCCTTCAGAGAATGGAGCAACAAGAACTGCCTCCTTCTGAACACCTCCAAGACCGAGGAGATGGTCATGGACTTTCGGAGGTCTAGGCCCACCCTTCAGCCACTCAACATTCGAGGGAAGGACATTGAGGTGGCACACACTTATAAATACCTAGGTGTGCACCTGGACAGTAAACTGGACTGGTCCCTGAATACGGATGCCATCTACCGGAAGGGGCGGAGCCGGCTCTTTTTCCTCAGGAGGCTCAGGTCATTGTTTTTATTATTATTATTATCAACAATGAGCTAACGGACACATGAATTTCCCCTAGGGGATAAATAAAGTATCTATCTATCTATCTCTCTGTCTGTCTGTCTGTCTGTCTGTCTGTCTGTCTGTCTGTCTGTCTGTATGTCTGTACCTTTCTTCAGTTGTTCAGCAGCAGCCAAAGCCTCGTGAAGGGTCACTCCTGCTCCAACCACAGTCACATGATCATCATTGGTTTTATACACAACCTGAGTGGGAAGGGGAGATAGATGTGTGTGTGGACATATGTGGATATACTGTACATAAGGAAACATTCCCATAGTCATAATTGTGTTGTGGTAATGATCATGAGGGATAAAAACAAAATAAAAGTTTAAAGAGCAGAAAAAATGCTTGTAAAAAACATAGATTTTATTTAGATTATACAGCAAAATTGGATGGAGGTAGAAAAAAGCTGACACAAACCTTAGCCTGTCCAATATGGAAATCTTCGTTGCAGTTGTAGATGATGTTGTTCTCTGGGCGACTTGTTCGGATAAAACACAAACCCTGGAACAAATCAGAAATAATCTACATGTGCCTCTACTTTTAATATTTTCCTTTTTTTCCCTATTTCTTACCACAGGTGACTATGAGTACCTTTGTGTTGGCAGCAAGTTCCACAGCTTTCTCAGTGGAGACACCGTCACTTGGGTAGAAGATAGTTGCAGTGGGAATGGCTCTGAATATGGCCAGATCCTCCAGACCCATCTGAGAGGGCCCATCTTCACCTAAATATACACACGTATATACAGCAGCAAACAGACAAAAGTCAGTTACAGTCACACGCACATGTTTACTATAGGTTGGTACATAAATTCAAGTAGACTGGCATGCATTCAGTATACAAAAGTGGGCATGCAATATACCTGAGGAGTTGGAGGAGAAAGAGAGAGGGGAGGAGGAAAAGGAGGTGAAGGAGGTGAAAGAGAACCAGGCCATTCTGTTGTCCACGACACACAGAGACAGAGTAGGAGGGAGGAGGGGAGAAGTGCTGACATCAGAAGAGGAAGATGGACAAAAGTAACAGAGGAGGTGAGAAGATGGGGCAAAAAAGTTTAGGATTCAGGGAAATTAAAACCAAAATACACTGAGGAGAGGTACAACCCACTGCAGTGACATTAAAGAAGCCAAAACGTGATGAAAAACAAAGAATGAAATATCTTCTAGCTTGTTTTAAAGGTCAACTTGGGTTGACTGTCATTCAACATGCACTGTGCACATTTTGGATTTACTCTTACAGAGCTACTAATTTCTAAGATATTATCAGTTTGACTTTTATATCCTTCAGAGGACTGAAGCAATCCCTACGCAGTAATGCACTAAATTTAATTTAAGAAAAATGTGTTATGAGAGTCACATTGAAGGTCATAATGGATGAAGCTACTTCTATCTATGGGTCAAAGGTCACTGAGGTGGTGGTTGGTTTAATATTGAAGAGCAAATCTTTTGAATACTGATGATAAAAAGCAATAACTATATAATAAACTAACAGAATGTTTCAAATTTTCAATCAGTAATATCAAGGTTCTCCTACTGATCCTGCTAAATGCTACCTAATGTTACCATAAATTTAGGTCAGAACACTCAAAGGTCAAAGGTAATTTAAATCAGGGCCATGATTTATGGAGAGAGAGGCAGGCACTGACCAATAGAGACTCCACAGTGGGAGCCACAGAGGTTAATGTTGCTCTCAGAGATGGCAGCCATGCGGAGCTGGTCGTAGGCCCGAGTGAAGAACGTGGCAAAGGTGCTGGCAAACACCACATTACGGTCCCGCACGGCACAACCTATCGCCACACTCACCTGCAGGAGAGATGAAAGAGATAGAGAGAGAGAGAGAAACAAAGCAAAGCAAATAAGGTGGGATGGGGGAAAACATGAGCTTTAGACATGTGTGTGAGAGACAGTAATCTTTGTAGGAACCTTCAGCAGATTCTTGTTCATGCACAGAAGAAACCGCAGTTGTTTTTAACATGTCTCTCTAGCTAGACAGTGACAAGTGGCAGCACCGCTGCTATTATTAGCTGTTAGTGATGAGAATGTACGTGTACTTATATTTTTGCTCTCCCTAATGCAAATGTGGACAACATGTTATTAATCTATCACTGTAATGGACATTTGAACCTCATCTTTTTAACAAAGCTCAAAGAACAGTTTACTGACATGTTTGATACAATAGTAGAATGACGACAATGTTGGTCTGTCCACCACTATTTGATGGATTGGCACAAATCCTTGTACAGACATACACGTTGTCTTGACAACTACTGAGTGAACTGCCATAGAATTTGTTGGACACATTCATGTCCCCCTCAGGATTAATTGTTATCATTTAACAAAAGGGCAAATGTCTGAGGCAGTTACAACTATAGAAAGCAACTCTTATTGTCAGACCAAAGCGTTTCAGCTTGTGGCCAATTGTTGTTGCTGGAGTTTTGACAACTCAAAACCAATCACCTTCTCCTCAGCCTCAGCTGCACTTTGTGTATGAACACTAGAAGAGTTATCCAGTGTTCTAGTGTTCCTTGAGTGTTAATGCTACTCAAGGGATGATGTGACAGCTACAACACTCACAACTGCAATAACTAGTAGTAGGTAAACTGTGGCACAACAGACACAGACTTATTGCAAAACTGTTAATATTTATGAGATACAATGAATCTGATATTTTACATGTGAAATGAAATAATCAAATTTAAATTTAAGATTTAATAGCCTCTCTGATGTACTTCATGTTGACAGACTGTAACATCTGTCCTCACTAAGACTAGCTTTTTCTTGGACTAAACAGTCTGTACACATGTAGCAAGTTAGGAATCTTCTTCATTCAGATGGATAAATCAGAAATAATTACTTACAGAAGAATATCAGCTGGACAGCTGTTACTTCACTGAACCTCACTGTCAGGTATAGTAATTATAATGTCTGTTGTTTTAGAAACACTTGAATTCCATATATTTCGTCTCAGTTTGGGCTCTGGCCCAAAACCGCACCAGCCTTCTAGCTAGAGAGCCAACCTCTGTATCTTACCATGTTCTGCTCTGCGATGTAACACTCCACGTAGCGGTTGGGGTGTTCGTTTTTAAAGAGTTCGGAGAAGGTGGAGTTCTTGGTGTCTCCATCCAGAGCCACTACATGCTCATTGTAACGACCAAGCTTGGCCAAAGCCATGCCGTACGCCTTCCTTGTAGCAATCTGCTTAAACAGGGACAAACAGGCAACCAATCAGTTAATTACTACTATTAAACACACAGATTATTATGTCCCATCTTGTCTGAAGCTTTGTGGTAATCTGTCTGAAACATTGTGCCACTGAGTATGTCTGCCACCCCTGATCATACCTTGTCTCCAGGTTTGTAGCTGGGTGCACTTGGCATGCGGATGTTTCGGAGGCTGACAGGGGATGTGTCCTCACTGGGCAGAGCAGGATAGAGGCGCTTATTGCAGCTGATGATGCGGCTCTGCAGCTCCTTTATTACACTCTCAGCCATGTCTTTGGGCAGAGGTTTACCGTGCCAGCCCATCTTATCCTCAGCCACTGAGAGACACACATGCGTGCGTGTGCGCACACACACACACACACACACACACACACACACACACACACACACACACACACACACAGTACATATGACTTTAAGAAATGATTATAGTGTGAAAAGTCTGTGAATTCTTAACAGCAGCAGATTTTGTAAAACTAAATTGATGAAGCATAATCCTGAAGACTGGTTTCTTACTACGGCTTCCAGAGACGACCTGTGTGAATGTGTGTTATGAATGATGTTGAGGTGAAAATAAGAAGTACATATATATACACTATAAACCCAATTCCTCTTAGTACGCATACGCACTTCTTCCTCATTCATGTGTATGCACATGCCAACATACATTAAAATAAACCATGGTCGGCTGCCACACTCACAACAGTCTTCCACATCAGTGGGTCACAACAGGCTACTTCAAAAGTCAAAGGTTAGGAGGCCACACACAATCTTATGCAGTCAAAGATATTCTCCTCTTATATGCACACACATAAACATGTGGTCACACACACTCCCGCTTAGTCTTATCACAACTCCAGCACAATGGGCTGATGCTGTGAGTGTATCCTACACATTCTGAAGGATTACTGAGCCTCAGCAGCTCAAACCCTGAAGCGCTGCCAGGATTACAGTGAGTTAGTGCCACTCTGCACTGATGGCGGGTTCCCAGGGCAGATATGAAAACTTCTGACAGATCTATTATTGCCAATCAGGTGTCACAATTTTACCTAGTCATCATTTAGCAACAGGTTTTTGGAGCACACACCCAGTGTTGCGTTACGAAACCTGCTGTGCGTTATGATTGCTTTGAATGATTCTTCTTGAAATAGGTTATGTCACTGAGAGTTTGATATCCAAATCTGAAAGAGAGACATCTAGACATAAAACAGCAGAATTACTGCACTTTCGTATTTAGGAACAGATACACAGCATGTCAATACTTCACTTCACAATTCACCTCATGACAGGATAACACTGCACTCATAATTAACCATCATGTAACTAATTTTTGTACCTGGGATGCCTTTTCCCTTGATGGTCTTAGCGATAATGGCAAGTGGCTGGTGGCAGGGCTGACTCAGCACCTTACACAACTCCTCCACACTGTGGCCGTCCACAATGATGGCGTGCCAGCTGCAAAACACAGGAGATCAAACTTTAAATGCAGTCCTTGAGGCAGGTTGCTGTGAACATTGGGCCTCTTTAATGAATTTTCTAAAGCCATCACATACCCACCTATGGTGATACTGTAGTATTTAATAGTGTTGCAAGATTTTGGCGTTTTTTACCTCATATGAATGCCCTGCATGTGGTGCAGGAATGACATGCAACAGGCTTGATTTGACACCAGCCTAAAGTAGCACAACATTTTCACAAAGTGGTATGAAAAAAATATCATGATAATTATATATTACTTTGTAAACTGTATCTCACAAAGTCTCATCCCGACAAAACACAAAATTTTTTTTTTGACAAACTGATTTGTAGAAACAACAAATAGTGACCAATCCCATCACAATTTCCTTGAGACCATGGCAATGTCTTCACATTGCTTGTTTTGTCTGACAAAACTGAGAAGTATTCAATTCATAATGATATACAACACATTTACAATCTGGAACAAGTGGATTAAATAACAAATAATTAAATAATTATGAAAATTGGTGTTGATTAATTGTCTTTAGTGTGACTAATGTAATTGTTCAATTGTTTCAGCACTAAAGGACACAACACCAACCCTCCGACTCCCCTCACCCAAAGGCCTCACAGCGTCGCTGGTACTTCTCCACATGGTGCTGCAGCGGAGACGGGTCGCTCTGACCCAGGCGGTTGATGTCCAATATGGCCACCAGGTTGTCCAGCTGGTAGTAGGAGGCAAAAGCCATGGCCTCCCACACTGAGCCCTCGGATAGCTCTCCATCACCCAGCAGGCAGAACACCCGGTAGCTACAAACAGAGAGAGAGAGAGATTCAGTGGTTTTAAGCAAATGTGGAGCTTTCATAGACATATGATTGGAGAGAGATGAGTAGAAGTAATTTTCCATATCAGTTCTATTTTCCCTTGCACATCTTCCCACACTCTGATTCCTCCTATAAGACTTGATGTGACAGCTGACCCTCACTCACTCACTCACTCACTCACTCACTCACTCACACACACACTCACACACACTCACACACACACACACACACACACACACACACACACACACACACACACACACACACACACACACACACACACACACACACACACACAACCCTGCTGTGCTCGGATCATCCCTGCTAGTTGCTCCCATGGCGTAACGACTCCTGACAGCTTTCCAGTCAAATAGACACATTCTCATTAAACCTGGAAGATAGGCCGAGACACGCCACATTACACCATGCATTCCAACCCTGAGTGCAAAGAAAAAAACACACGGCACAGAAAAAAAAGAGAGGAAGAAGAGAACAAAGAGAAGAGAGGAATTCAACAGAGGCATAGATTGAGAGAAGGAGAGAAAAGAGGTTGAGACAGAAGGAACAAAACAGGAGCTAGCAGATTGGTTTCTGAATTGGTGTCCTCTTCTTTTATCAAACTACACATCATGATATATACAGAAGAAAAAACTCATGGATCCTCATTTCAGCAAAAGATGTATTTTCTTGATTTGAAAGATAGTATCATTTATTGCAGTCTACTATCAAGTGTTAAAATACGATATTGTAAGAGCAGGCTTTGTAGTTTTGAAATGGCATTTTGCATATCCAGGGGTGGACAATAACTAAGTACATTTACTTGAATACTGTACTTAAGTATATTTTTCCAGTATCTGTACTTTACTTGAGTAGCAGTTTTTTTTTAAACTTATGACTTTTACCTCACTACATTTAAAAGACAAATATTGTACTTTTAACTCCACTACATTTCTATGAATTACCACACACTGTGTTCATCACAGACAGGAGAAAAAACAATCACAGCCAGTTCCTACCTGGCAGTGTCCTAATGATACTATATTAGATAAAGATGAGGCAGAAGATTGTTCACCAGAGACCATAAAGAAAGGTTTATTTAGTTTGAAATGTTTGCTGTGTTTTACCATGACCAAACTTCATCACTGTCTAAAAAAAAAGAAATACGAAAACAACTTGTTGATTCAGTTGGGTTTTTATGTCCATGTCTTCAGTCTTTGTATCATATCCTACAGTCTTTTTATTTTACAGGTTCTACAGTCAGTCAGTTGGTCTGTCAATAGGTTGTTTCAGAGTCATTAGGTTCTGTAAATGTGTAACAATAGGAGTTGACATAAAAAATGTACTTTTGAATATTTCTGTATTTTTAAAATCAAGTACTCCAGTACTTTAACTCTAAAAAAAAAAAAAGTCCTATTTGACCAGGATGTATAGGACCTATACTCTGACTCAAGTGATAAAGTGATGTACTTTGTCTACCTCTGTGTATAGCTTTATGAAATAAAAATTATGAAACAAGCAGGCTTACTTGTGGTCCTAGATTCTCCACAAGTAGAATAGGAGGCTGTGCCTTCAGTTATCAGGCTCCTCTCCTGTGGAACCAGCTCCCAGTCTGGGTTCAGGAGGCAGACATCAAGCTGTCCTCTTTGAGAGAGCTTATATTTAGGGCTGGCTTGCCTTGAACCATCCACTAGTTATGCTGCTATAGGCCTAGAGCTCTTCTGTCCTCCTCGCCATCTGTATGCAGTCATATCCCATTAATGCATGTTAATAAATTGACGTCTTCTCTCTCTCTTAGTTTTGTGTTTTCTCATCTCTCTCCTCCTCCTGTCACTTTCTGTAGATATTTCTGCTTCTGGAGCTGTAGAGTCAGAATCTAAGACTGCCTATTCCCCCATGATCCTGCTCAATAACCACTGCTACAATGATTATTATTATTATTATTATTATTATTATTATTATTGTTGCTACTATACATCTCTATGTGGATCATAAGGGTATCCAATACAACCACAGCAGTTCTTGTCGTTTATTAAAAAACAATACATGAATGAACTTGTCAAATCCTCTTATCAGCAGTTCTGAGATGAGACTGAATAATTGATACTCTTCATCGTTTCATCTTTGTATGACTCTGGTTCAATACTCTGTAGTTGTAAACATGTAAATATGAGATTACATAAACACAGGCAGAGTTCCTCATGCTCATTCACGCTTTGCACTGAACCAGGGGATAATACAACATACCACAGAGGGAAGTAACTGGAAGGGGTTTGTTTGCTTTTGTGTGACAGTGCAATGAGGTGTGTGTGTGTATGTGTATGTGCTCCTATTACATCCTGTCTTTGTGAGATGAGAACAGAAAACAGCCCAAACCAATCCACACTGTCACACAAAAGCAAACAAACCCCTTCCAGTCACTTCCCTCTGTGATATGTTGCATTATCCCCTGGGTTCGGTGCAAAGCGTGAACAAGCATGAGGAACTCTGCCTGTGTTTGATCCGGTAATCTCATATTTACATGTTTACAACTGTAAATTATTGAACCAGAGTCACACATGCATGAAACGATGAACAGTATAAATTATTCAGTCTCATCTCAGCACTGCTGTTAAGAGCATTTGACGAGTTCATTCATGTATTGTTTTTTAATAAACCACAAGCTCAGAAACCCTTGGAGGTCTGTTTGGTTATTTGTAGGATTTCCTGCTACACTTTAACCAGGAGGCACATAAAATGTGACTTACACCATAATTAAAGTTTGTAGATGGTTATATTTGCTGCTTTGCTCTAAGAGAAATTCTTTTGTTGATCCTGCAGTGTAGATTGTGAGTATGTCTCTCTAGTAGGGGTTGATATAGTTGCCATTCAGCAGTTCTTGCCCCAGACTATGTTATGAAACCAGTGATGCAGCCCTCTGAGTGAGTCTTGAGCTGTTATGTTACAGCAAATTAGCTTGACAAGCTGCTGCGAGCGTCGCAGGGGAAATGCACACGCTCCTCTGCAGGCACACACAAGCACATGCAACATATCCAATCGAATGCAAGGTGTATTAAGTATAATCTACTATGTATGCAAAGATGAAACATAAGCACAGCATGGGATTTTTACCATTTTTTGGAGAGCAGATGAGGTGAAAAGGGTGAGGCAAAGACAACTGTGCTCTTGCATGTGTGATTATTAGAGCAGAAACAATCAAGTGCGAACAGAATGCAGAGAGAGAGAGAGAGACAGAGAGAGAGAGAGAGAGAGAGAGAGAGAGAGAGAGAAAGAAAGATATCAAGGGCAGCCAATTCAGACTGCAAGTACGGCATTCCCAGGCTGCCTGTTTCACTGCGTCTGTTGTGTGCAAAAACCAAAATTGCCTTTGAGAGCATCTCCTTCTGTCCTGTCCATAATGACATGGGTCAAGCTACGTTCCTGAAAGTCAAGGATCAGCTCAGTTGTTTTTGTGTCATATTATAGGCCACACAGCTCTATCTGTCTATTGTCAGACTAAAACCCACGTGGTTCTTTCTAGATCACACTAGAACAAAGGATACACAAGGACTGATCTGTTCAAGTCAGCTAACATTAAATTGAATAGCATCTGAAAACTGTGCATTACAGGCTTGTTAATATGTTGTGATGTAACTATATGTTTGAAGCCACTTGAAGATTGAATATCAAAGAAACTGCTGCAGAATAAATTGAAAACTGCATTCATCTAATTAATCTCTGAATTTGAATTTCACCTTGGTGAAGAAACAAATGAATCCCTATCAGTGACCTCTTTCACCACTTGATCCCTTCCTGGAGTCAGTCTCAGATTATGGAACAGATACCCTCATTCATCCTGATTTTAAGGTAAAACTGATCAGAGGTCAGCTCTGAGCAGCTGCCTAAATATCATCCCAGACCAGGCCTGTCAGTTATGATTTTATCCAAAGCTCCAGGCTGAAATGTCACATGACAGCATGTGTACATTATATCATGCATAACTTCATGTCTTCTACCTTAATATGTGCAGAGGCAGGCTGGGCTGCTTTGCACCTGCATGTATGTATGTCTGAGAGTCTCTGTGTGAGGTTGTTTTCTTTTGAAGGACAATGTGTGTGTGTGTGTGTTTAGATGAGCGTGTTTCTGTGTGTGTTACCTGGCCTTGTCAAAGTACTTTCCGGTGTAGGCCATTCCACAAGCAGCTCCCAGCCCCTGACCCAGAGATCCAGTGGCCACATCCACAAACTGCTGCTTCTGTTCGCACGCACGCACGCACACACACACACACACACACACACACACACACACACACCCACATGCACTCACACGCACAGGCTTTTTGTCCTGCTTCTTCCCTTTGCTTTACCCCATTACTGAATAGTATTCCAGGAGCCTTTTGTGGAGCCTTGTATAGGCACATGCCAAGTCAAGTTATTTCAGAGCAGTTTCAATGGAATTACCCCCCAAAATAATCTCCTTTTGCT